CCTCGAACGGTCTTTCCAAAATTTGTTTTAAAATGACTTCAGATTTCTATCATATTCACTAAGTGTTTTTTTATTTGCTTTGACCAATCGGTTGAGAAATGTTCTCTATGCGTCCAACACGATCGTGGTCAGAAAAAATGGGGGGAAGAAAAGAAAATAGGGAGCTAGCAGCCGTAGACCAGTAGGCTTGTGTGCCCAATCGATAAGAATTATACCTTTACTGACTATAGCTACGACCAAAGAAAACCCTACCGTGCTTGAGATTTGAACCCGCCAACAGTGACTTGTTAGTCGCCGTTCTTACCTGCTGGACTACTCAGGTAGCTTATAGTTTGCTAGTTATTTGAATCGTGGCCAAAGGCATTCGACATTACCTGCCAAGCGGCAGCAAGACTTTTCTCCCTTCTCTTTCTTTAGGCGGTTTTGTTTTTTATGAAAACATAGGCATCCCTTGCTATCACGTTTTCCCATCATCTTGGGTGCGAAGAATAATTCACATCTGAAAGAAATGTATCGAAAAAACCGAGCTAGTTTAATTTATTGTTGCCCCGATACCCCAAGATGTGCGAGCATTCAAATCGTATACAAGTCATTGAGGGCCATCGATTTATTTATGCAATCAGTATATGAGATGTAAGGTGTTCAAGAATTCTGACTAGCTTAGGCGTAATAAGGGCTTTCCTATCGACTGGCAAGGCACATTGCTGGAAGACGTTGAGATTCGTAAGGCTTTGCCCATTGCTAAATTTCTGCTTGAAATAGTTTCATTTGATTTACAATTGCCAACGTATACGGGGGATCTCCAGAAAGAAATTTAGCCGGGTGGAGACCATAGTTAGGATAAAGTACAGACAGGCCTTGGAAAGAACATCACGCCCACCCGGAAAAGCTTTATCTGTCCGTTATTTTTTCGAAGGGGTAAAGAGGACACGTGCACTCTTTTGAACTATGTGTCCTTTTATTTATTTGTCCGACGTGCGGGATTAACTCCACCATCACTATCGAACAGGCTCGAAATGACCTTTTTCCGAAAAACCAACCCTTAGATTTTTCCAGATAGCATGTTGCCAAGAGTCTTTCAAATAATTTAATATCTTCCTGTCTTAAAAATTACACTTTTTTATATTTTGCCAAAACAGGAATGTCTAGAAGAAGTAGGACGTGATTTGGCTCGAAGAAAATACATTAGAAATTTTTGTGCAGAAAAATTCATTAATTCTTCCTTTGCTATTTTTAAATATTGAAGAGTTCATTCGATTTCGGAAAATCATGTAATGTATTACTTAACGAGAAATATGCTTTCAACCAAACATGCATGGCGCGGTACAATCGTAGGCAGTAGTTAAAATAGTGGTCATCCAATATTCGTCTTCAGGGGAACATAAAATTTTTACATAGAATTTTTTTGTTAAATATCTAAAGCTACTTTTGTATTGGTTTACCGACTTGTTTTTTTTTATTGTCTTATGTGTTTTTATATGTGTTTATGTATTTATATGTACAAGTATTGCTATAATCCTGATTATTACTCCAATCTCCCATCATAGAATTAGGTGCTCGCCTTTTTCTCATAAAAATTAAGAACATTTATATACATACATACATACGTATATATGTATGTATGTTGTTTTCTATTCTATTTGGTTATAAGAAATAAGTAACTGTTAACGAGACTTCAAATTCTATTCTATTGTGTAGACGTTCTAACTCAAAAGCCGATTAGCATTGCTTGACGCGAACATTATTTAAAAAAAAATAAAAAATTATGTGATTTAAACTCTTGAGAATGCTTTAAAAAGCAGACAGACATACAGACAGAAAAATTGACCTTCTTTAAGTTATTGTTGTATACTTTTAGTTTTAACTAATTGATTTTCTTTTATTTGAAAAGTTAATGTTCCTTTCTAAACTGAGTCATCGTTAAGTCAAAAGGCAAAAACCATAAATAAGAAGGCATTTAAGCGAAAGAAAAAAAAAAAAAAAA